CTATACCATTCATGTATATATCCATACCTCACCTATGCTATCTATGCTTGGGGTTCAACTGCAGCAACACACCTAAAGCCAATAATAACCCAACAAAAAGCCGCAGTAAGAATAATCACTAAATCCCATCCCTGGCAACACCCCCCCCACTCTTCATAGATCTAAACTTACTCCCTGTTCAGAACATCCACACTTACTACTGTGCAATCTATATCTACAGGACCTTAAATTCCAATATTAACCTTGACCTAAAATGCTTTCTTGATAGTTGTGACAGGATCCACAGGCATAACACCAGACACAAACACCTCTATGACATTCCCTGAGTTCGACTAAATCTTTACAAAAATTCAATGTATTTCAAAGGGCCTAAAATCTGGAACACCCTACCTGAAAACTCTAGAACTGCAGACACATTCATCACTTTCAAAACTACAGTTAGAAAACATCTTATCTCCTTGATCCACCTCGACAACTAACTACATGATAACCACCTGGTGGTTCAAAATTACACTCACTCACCCACTGACTATAAACCCAGAAATACTAATCTTGATCTTAAAATAATAAATCGTAACTAGTCATAAGTTTGCCTATGTTACTCAAATACAGACACCTTGTATTGTGCCAAAACAAAAGCATTCACATTGCTAAACTCAAAATTACGATGTAGTCACTTAGCCTTAATACTATCATCTGTAAGGACTTAATGTTAGAATTAATCTAAGTCTGCTCGAAATACCTAGCCATGCTAGGTGTCCTAGTGGCCCCCTCTGTAATTAGTATTTTATAACATGTAAACCACAAAATACCCAAAACCTGTAAACCCCACATTGTAACCATTATAGAGAATAAACTTGAATTGAATTAAATTAATAATAATAATAATAATATTAATAATAATAATAATAATAAAAATAAAAATAATAGTAATAATAATAATAATAATAATAATAATAATAATAATAATAATAATACGTAACAATAATAATGATGAGGAGCTTCTGAACACCGCCAACTCAGTGCACTGTTTAACTCGCCGTGGAAGCATCTCTCTAGTGTTTTCTTTGCATTTTGTGCAGTTATTCTGCCAAATTTCTTTTTTCTAACCATGGGTCCTAAGAAAGTAAGTGCAAAGGAGAGTATTGAGAAGAAAAAGATGATGATGTCCATGGAATTAAAGCATGAAATCATAGATAAACAAGGGAGGTGTGCAGGATGTGGGTTGAGGGGGAAGCTCACTTGTAACTCAGATGTTGGCTCATAACTCAGAGCAAAAAATCGACCAAGTGATGGCTCATATCTCGAAAAGCTTGAATGTTGGGACACTCATAAGTAGGGGTTCCACTGTAGTATTTCCAAACAAGTACAGTGGACCCCCGGTATTCGATGGCATCGGTATTCGATAAATCCGGTATTCGATGCATTATATCGCAAAAAATTTTCCTCGGTATTCGAATGAAAACCCGGTATTCGATATGATTCGTACAAGACCTGTCCACATGTGGCCTGAACTGCCCCATGTGTGCCAGTGTTTACAAGCCAGCCAGTGTGCGCGCATATAAGGATACATTCGGTACATTTCATATTATCACTGTGTTTGGTGCTTGTTTCTGCAAAATAAGTCACCATGGGCCCCAAGAAAGCTTCTAGTGCCAACCCTTCGAGAAAAAAGTCGCTAATGACTTATGAAATTAAGAAAGAGATAATTGCAAAATACGAAAGTGGAGTGCGTGTGTCGGAGCTGGTTAGGTTATATAATAAACCCCAATCAACCATCTCTACTATAGTGACCAGGAAAACGGCAATCAAGGAAGCTGTTCTTGCGAAAGGTGCAACTGTGATTACGAAACAGCGACCTCAAGTGTTAGAAAATGTTGAGAGATTGTTATTGGTGTGGATAAATGAAAAACAGATAGCAGGAGATAGCATCTCTCAAGCGATCATTTGTGAAAAGGCTAGGCAGTTGCATTAAGTCCTGATGGAAGGGGATTCCCCTTCTAAACACTAACACCTCTCCCCTCCTCCCATCCCATCAATCATCACTAGATCTTCATTAAAGGTAAGTGTCAATTATTTTATTGTTATTGTAATTATTCTTTTGCATTGAACTTAATATTTCATGTAGTAAAATTTTTTTTTTCATACTTTTGGGTGTTGTAGGTAGTAGGTTGGTAGACAGCAACTGCCCAGGGAGGTACTACCGTCCCACCAAGTGAGTGTAAAACGAAAGCCTGTAATCGTTTTACATGATGGTAGGATTGCTGGTGTCTTTTGTCTGTCTCATAAATATGCAAGATTACAGGTAAGTCTTGCTACTTCTACTTACACTTAGGTCACACTACACATACATGTACAAGCATATATATACACACCCCTCTGGGTTTTCTTCTATTTTCTTTCTAATTCTTGTTCTTGTTTATTTCCTCTTATCTCCATGGGGAAGTGGAACAGAATTCTTCCTCTGTAAGCCATGCGTTCGTAAGAGGCGACTAAAATGCCGGGAGCAAGGGGCTAGTAACCCCTTCTCCTGTATATATTACTAAATTTAAAAGGAGAAACTTCAGTTTTTTCTTTTGGGCCACCCCACCTCAGTGGGATACGGCTGGTACGTTGAAAGAAGAAAGACTTTTGGGTGTCTTGCACGGATTAATTTGATTTCCATTATTTCTTATGAGGAAAATTGATTCGGTTTTCGATATTATCGGTATTCGATGAGCTCTCAGGAACGGATTAATATCGAATACCGGGGGTCCACTATACTTTCCTATATCCTTCCTAAGTCTGAACTTATCCAACTTGATCCATTATTTTCAGTTCTTTCTTGAAGTGATACCCTCAGAACCTTATTTATATCTCCCTTATTTATGCTCATCTTCTACTTATACACTTCAATCATCTCTCTCCTTATTATGTCTTAAAAAAGAAAGTAGGTTAAGGAATTTCAATCTTTCTTCATAAGGAAGATTTCTTATGCTATGGATTAATTTTGTCATTCTTCTCTAAATGTTCTCTAACATATTTATTTCGGTGTACTGTTCTATGATCTTGTTTTTTTTTTAACACGTTGGCCATTTCCTACCGAGGCAGGTAACCCCAAAACAAAGAAAAACCAAAAAGATAAAACTTTCATCATTCAACACTTTCACCATCATTCATACATAATCACTGTCTTTGCAGAGGCACTCAGATACAACAGTTTAGATCTATGATCTTAGCTCACTTTATTTTGTCAAAGAAGTGCAGCAAGTCAAGCATTTAAAGGATGTCCTAGGAGCTTTGATAAGCAACAGCCGCTTCTCCCTAGAAACAACATATATCAACAATCATATTGCTTTCAAAAATATTTAGTGCAGTTTTAAGTACAGTAGACTGTTATATCACACGATAGTTACGTTCCTGAAAAACACAGTGATAGGTAAATCCATGTCAGATAAACTGAAGAACTTATACATTCCTATGAGCCCGAAAAAGCAAACAACTTTTTTATACCTCCAGATTTTACAAATATAAAAGTGAACATGTAATTGTTGTTCATTGCTGTGATGTTTAATGTTATTTTTACTGCTTAAGACTACAAATGCAACAGAAATAATAGTGTTCCTTACCTTAAATTGTGGGTTTTGGTGTTTGTCAATGTGAAGAGAGTGGAGAGTTATGCTGTGGCCCTACTGGGCTGAGGTGAATGACAGAGGTTCTGGTACTATAGTCGATGGTTGTACTGGAGCGTGCATAAATTCGGTTATGGATTTCTATGCTATTTTACCCTGCAGTACATTATACAGCTAATGGTAAGGTATCAGCTGCTCTAGAGCACTGCTTCTAGATTTGTCAGGGTCCTCTTCAGTGAAAAAGTCTAACTTTAAATCAGTAAAGTCTACATCAGTCAGTCAGTCAGTAAATCAGCCAAGTCAGTCAGTCAGTAAATCAGCCAAGTCAGTCAGTAAATCAGTTAAGTAAGTCAGTCAAATAAGTCTGTCAGTAAGTCAGTCAAGTCAAATAAGTCAGTCAAGTGTGTCAGTAAGTCAATCATGTAAGTTTGTCAGTAAGTCAGTCAAATAAGTCAGTCAGTCATTCATCACACAAACACGTATATTTACCTCATTCTTTTTAACTGTACAAACTGACGCTTCATTAAGGCCATAGGGTATCTCTTGTTTAATATCTTTATTTTATTCGTAACTCTAGGCCTTAAACGCTTATACCTTTTCTTGTCACTTTCAGCAAAACTCGTGTGCCTACTGGGTACCATGATTGCTTGGCAGATACAAGATAGGCAATTAAAAGATCCAAACACAATTCACAAACACAGTTAGCTCCTAGGAGAGAATGGAACTGAACACATATTCACAAAGGCTGGGATGGGACTGTCAGGGGTGGCAGGGGATGGCGGTAGGTCTCCCCCACTGATACAATGGTCTGACTCACAACAAAATGGCAGCTTGAACTGAGGAAATTCTTTCTGTGCCCACAAACAGAACCATGTTAAGTTAATTTTATGAAGTGTTGTATAAAATTGTGCCACAACTTTTCAATAGTGCAATAACCAAAATGTGGCAAATAAATCTGTGTAATATAATGGTCTACTGTATTACAGTGTCTCCTAGTTTTTTTTTCCAAGAAAATTAAAAAAATTAGAAGAGATTTTTATCTATTAACCAAAGTAATTATCTCAGGAAACATGAAATATCAAACAAGTGTTAGTGGCATATTCTTCAAATTATCAAAGGGTGACATGATTATATAACTAACATCTCTAAAATTTACATCAGCATTCCTCAATAAAACTGCAGGAAAATGGCACCTGTATATGTATCAACACTACAGAAGAGGTATGAGCATTCAGTACAAGCTGCAGGAGGAGACACAACAAACATGATGCATCACTGTTTAAATTTCCCTAATACGAAGATCCACTGTGCTGCGATTTGATATAAATTGACAGTTCACATGAATTAATTAATAAAATCTAAGTGTTAAACAAACAAATTCATACACACCTCTGGTATGTTTTGTTGCGTAGTTTCCTTGGTAAGGCAAGTAAATAATTTCTGCCGTCGGAAGAGAAGATTTCTAAAGCAATGGGCTGTAACAGGTATCTGAAATAAAAAAAAAAATGTTCATAAAATTAATAATAATTTTATTGAAAAAAAAAATCACTGATTAACTATAACAGTAATTTTTTTTTATTAATTAAGGAGGTGTACTGAATAATTTCCTTTTCTCCAAAATTAAAATCTTCAGCCTACCAATTTTTCACTTCATAATAATGACTGCTAGCAGTAAATAAACATATCTGGTTATTCACTAAAACACAACTGTGATACTGTGCTTTCCAGGTTCCTAAATCTAAACATCTTTTGATATACAGTGAGCATCTAGTACTCTTACTGGTTACACTCATGAATTCAGTGTTACCAAGGAATTTTTGTGACATATGGAGTACATATTACAGGAGAAAATAAGGGTTATGCTCATCACACCTCTCAAAAGATCAAACAAGTTTTTTTACCTCTTCAAAATAATAGATTTTCTACCAAATCATAATTTTCACTGCCTATCAATCTGACACTGCATGGAGAGAGCTGATATAGCACTGTACAATACAGTGGACCCCCGCATACCGTTGGCATCACATAACGATTAATCCACATACCGCTTGCTTTAATCGCAAAAATTTTGCCTCGCATACCGCTTGAAAACCCGCTCACCGATTTTCGTCCGAGACGCGTCCAATGTGCGCCCTCAGCCAGCCTCACATGTGCCGCCAGTGGCATTGTTTGCCAGCCAGCCTCCGCGGTAACATCCAAGCATACAATTGGAATATTTTGTATTATTACAGTGTTTTCGGTGCTTTTTCTGGAAAATAAGTGACCATGGGCCCCAAGAAAGCTTCTAGTGCCAACCCTACAGCAATAAGGGTGAGAATTACAATAGAGATGAAGAAAAAGATCATTGATAAGTATGAAAGTGGAGTGCGTGCCTCCGAGCTGGCCAGCTTGTATAATAAACCCCAATCAACCATCGCTACTATTGGTGGTACAGCTGCTGCTGCTGCACTGTCAGCTGCTGCTGCTGCTGTAGCATCGTCTGCTGCTGCTGTAACATCTTCTGTTGCTGCTGTAGCATCGTCTGCTGCTGCTGTAGCATCGTCTGCTGCTGCTGCTGCTGTAGCATCGTCTGCTGCTGCTGTAACATCGTCTGTTGCTGCTGTAGCATCATCTGCTGCTGCTGTAGCATCGTCTGCTGCTGCTGTAACATCTTCTGTTGCTGCTGTAGCATCGTCTGCTGCTGCTGTAGCATCGTCTGCTGATGCTGTAGCATCGTCTGCTGCTGCTGTAACATCGTCTGTTGCTGCTGTAGCATCGTCTGTTGCTGCTGTAGCATCGTCTGCTGCTGCTGCTGCTGCTGCTGTAGCATCGTCTGCTGCTGCTGCTGCTGTAGCATCGTCTGCTGCTGCTGTAACATCGTCAGTTGCTGCTGTAGCATCGTCAGTTGCTGCTGTAGCATCGTCAGTTGCTGCTGTAGCATCGTCTGTTGCTGCTGTAGCATCGTCTGCTGCTGCTGTAGCATCGTCTGCTGCTGCTGCTGCTGTAGCATCGTCTGCTGCTGCTGCTGCTGTAGCATTGTCTGCTGCTGCTGCTGCTGTAGCATCGTCTGCTGCTGCTGTAACATCGTCAGTTGCTGCTGTAGCATCGTCAGTTGCTGCTGTAGCATCGTCAGTTGCTGCTGTAGCATCGTCTGTTGCTGCTGTAGCATCGTCTGCTGCTGCTGTAGCATCGTCTGCTGCTGCTGCTGCTGTAGCATTGTCTGCTGCTGCAGTAACATCGTCAGTTGCTGCTGTAGCATCGTCTGCTGCTGCTGTAGCATCGTCTGTTGCTGCTGTAGCATCGTCTGTTGCTGCTGTACCACCGTCAGCTGCTGCTGCTGCTGTAGCACCGTTGTTGGTGTGGCTTATTGAGAATACCAAGAAACAATTAACCCCAGAGGATTTGCCACCCAGGATAACCCAAAAAAGTCAGTGTCATCGAAGACTGTCTAACTTATTTCCATTGGGGTCCTTAATCTTGTCTCCCAGGATGCAACCCACACAAGTCGACTAACACCCAGGTGAACAGGGAAAAATGCCTGGAACTAGTGCTCATATTGGTGAATTTAAAGCCAGCAAAGGTTGGTTTGAGAGATTTAAGAATCGTAGTGGCATACACAGTGTGATAAGGCCTGTTCTGGAAGAAAATGCCAAACAGGACCTACAGTACTCAGGAGGAAAAGGCACTCCCAGGACACAGTGTCTCATCAGTCATTGCTGCATCTTCAATAAAGGTAAGTGTCATTTATTCTTCATTTAGTAGACTAGTACATGCACAATATATACTGTGCATGTACTACTCTACTATTGTGCATGTATCCTTCTCTTTGTGTGTAGGAAAATGTATATTTCATGTGGTAAAAATTTTTTTTTCATACTTTTGGGTGTCTTGCATGGATTAATTTGATTTCCATTATTTCTTATGGGGAAAATTCATTCGCATACCGATTATTTCGCATAACAATGAGCCCTCTTGCACGGATTAAAATCGTTATGCGGGGGTCCACTGTACATCCACAAACATGTCGTAGGCAGTAGCTTATCAGCTACAACCACAACCACCTACAACTACTACCTGGCCCATTTATGCTGTTGTTGCCAATGAGTTATTTTTTCAACAATTAAAACACCAAAAAATTATAAGTTTTCATCAGTCCAATAATTTTAGTCTCATTCGATTCATAAAATTGAACTTTTTTTTTTTTTTTTTTTTTTTTTTTTTTTTTTTTTCAAAATCTTGCTGCACATACAGGAATTTTAATTTCAGGGTATGCCACAGTTAAGGGGTTAAGCTCCCTGACTAATTATTTGTTTCACAAACTATGTGCAAAGTATGCGGTCAGTCTTATGGTCACTATCTTGAACATTGCTTAATTATCCACTTCTTGAGGAATAAAGAGATAGACAGTACAATAACCTAATTACCAAGGTATCTTATTAATGAAATTGACATACTGGAGTTATTTAACAAATTTCCTAATTTGCTTGAAATAGATAAGCCCCTTTCAGGGTCTAGCTCCTAGGCCTTTTGTATATCCATATGCTCTTGTGCTACTGTCCACAGGATGGATACGGAGTGCACAATTAGCTAGCTGCTTTGGCAGCAAAATCTAATCTAAATTATATAAAAATTACTCTGCCTATTTCTCTGCCTTCCAAAATATAGCACCAATTGTTTAAGTAACTGTATAGTAGGGAGGGAAGAAGAGCAATTGGTGGAATGATGATGTAAAGAGAGTAGTAAGGGACAAAACGTTAGCATACAAGAGGTTTTTACAAAGTAGAAGTGATGCAAGGAGGGAAGAGTATATGGGAAAAAAAAGAGAGGTTAAGAGAGTGGTGAAGGAATCTAAAAAGAGAGCAAATGATAGAGTGGGTGAGATGTTATCAACAAACTTTGTTGAAAATAAGAAAAAGTTTTGGAGTGAGATTAACAAGTTGAGGAAGCATATAGAACAAATGGATTTGTCAGTTAAAAATAGGAGAGTAGAGTTATTAAATGGAGAGTTAGAGGTATCGGGAAGATGGAGGGAATATTTTGAGGAATTGTTAAATATTGATGAAGTTAGGGAAGCTGTGATTTCGTCTATAGGGCAAGGAGAAATAACATCTTGTAGGAGTGAGGATGAGCCAGTTGTAAGTGTGGGGGAAGTTTGTGAGGCAGTGAGTAGAATTAAAGGGGGTAAGGCAGCTGGGATTGATGGGATAAAGATAGAAATGTTAAAGGCAGGTGGGGATATAGTTTTGGAGTGGTTGGTGCTATTATTTAATAAATGTATGAAAGAGGGTAAGGCACCTAGGGATTGGCAGAGAGCATGCATAATTCCTTTGTATAAAGAGTAAGGTTATGAGCATAACAAAAAGATTAGGTGCTGAAAGATTGGATATCAAATTGGAGGGAGAGAGTATGGAGGAGGTGAATGTATTCAGATATTTAGGAGTGGACGTGTCAGCAGATGGGTCTATGAAGGATGAGGTGAATCATAGAATTGATGAGGGTAAAAGGGTGAGTGGTGCACTTAGGAGTCTGTGGAGACTCCTAAGTCCATGGAAGCAAAGAGGGGAATGTATGAGAGTATAGTTGTACCAACACTCTTGTATGGGTGATGAATGTTGAAACGAGGAGAAGGCTGAAGGCATTGGAGATGTCATGTCTGAGGGCAATGTGTGGTGTGAATATAATGCAGAGAATTCGTAGTTTGGAAATTAGGAGATGTGGGATTACCAAAACTATTGTCCAGAGGGCTGAGGAGGGGTTGTTGAGGTGATTCGGACATGTAGAGAGAATGGAACAAAACAGAATGACTTCGAGAGTGTATAAATCTATAGTGGAGAGAAGGCGGGGTAAGGATTGGCAAAGGAAGGGTTGGAGGGAGGGGTTAAAGGAGGTTTTGTGCGTGAAGGGCTTGGACTTCCAGCAAGCATGCGTGAGCGTATATGATAGGAGTGAATGGAGACAAATGGTTTTTTAACACTTGACGTACTGTTGGAGTGTGAGCAAAGTAACATTTATGAAGGGATTCAGGGAAACCGGCAGGCTGGACTTGAGTCCTGGAGATGGGAAGTAGTGTGTTTACACTCTGAAGGAGGGGTGCTAATGCTGCAGTTTTATAATTGTAGTGTAAAGCACCCTTCTGGCATGACAGTGATGGAGTGAAAGATGATGAAAGTTTTTCTTTTTCTGGCCACCCTGCCTTGGTGGGAATCGGCCAATTTGTTAATAATAAATAATAATAAAAATACAGTCACTGGACATGTTTCTAGAAGTTCTGCAGCCTGTGGAACTCTTTGAAACACGGTGTCATACACAATGGTGCTTTACACTCCTCACACATAAAACGAGTGTCTCTGCATTTTTGTGGGCTTTTTTTTTATATGCACAGGCAAAACATTTCTTCAGAGCCTTTTTCTTCAAAACAGTAGCAGGCAGTTGCATTAGGAAGCGATCTCCAGGCCTCAGATGAGAGGGTAGTTGATGATCAGTTCACATATGTTGTTCTATTGCAGGTG